GCACACACACACACACACACACACACACACACACACACACACACAGCCATTCATTTTCCCTCCTTATGTTTCGTTTAGTAACTTATATCAACTGTTAACTGATATCTAAACATAGGTATAAACAATCGATAATGTTGATTCACCAAAAACAGCACTCGCATTCGCGCACAGCATACCCCCTCATTCACCAGTGCTTGTAGTGGAGATAGTCCTTCAAACACAGAAGGATAGTACTTATACATATACACGTTATACAGTGGCGGTGGGTAGCGAAGGGCTCACGGGCTTGAGCCCCTACCCCCTCCCCACCCACCACCCCCAACTCTATCCCAAAGTAAATGAAAGTTTCTCGTTAATGACATAAGCTGTTGAAACCGTTATGACCGCTCGCAATGAACACAGAGTGATGAACTTGGCGCCTTGCTCGCTTATCCAATCAATGTTGTCCCCGCTTACAACTATAGTAACCCAGCAGCCAATCAAATGTCTTTAGGGCTCTGCAAAGATGAGCCCTATTCCCATAGTCCGTCCTTTACGAAACTCTTCTTGTAAAAAGGTAGAAATAACACTGTACCGAGGGCTCACGCTCTCCTAGCCCTGACAATGGGGTGAACGTTTACGACACTCTTTCCCCCACTGACACAGATACCTATGCGCTCATTGGTTCTTAGTTAGGTGCGTTCAACTTTCTCGACTACACGACCTAATCCAGCTCATAGAAGTATTATGTTTGAAGTGTTGTGTGTGCAAGTTTGTGTTTGTGCCGCTGAGATTTAAAAGTTATAAATCAGGTCGAACTACTTGTAAGGCAACTTTCTCATTACACGAAAACTAATTAGAGGAAATTTGGTGGTGAATCTGCTTCGTCCCCACCATCAACAAGAATTTAACTAAGAACAAAAGATGGAAAACAAAAGCAACTCTTCGTTCTCAAACTGCCGTGGCTCACCGTAACTATAGAAAAAGCATCATTGTTTAATTCTTATTGCTTGCTATTTGGTGGTAAAGAACTGGAAGCAACCTAAGCCCCAACCAAATTTTGGTCCACCCACCGCCACTGTACACGTACCGTGCATTTCTATTACTTTAAAGCGAGGCAATTTTTGAAGAACGATGCACACACACGCACACACACACATCCAGAGAGAGAGAGAGATACAGAGAGAGGTACTGAGAGAGAAAGAGAGAGCAAGACTAAGATAGAGAGAGAGAGAGAGAGAGAGAGAGAGAGAGAGAGAGAGAGAGAGAGAAAAATAGAGAGACAGAAAACAGAAAGAAATTAGGTAAGTAAGAAATTGGGACGGGTCTCGGTGGGTTCTTGTGTTGGCATTCATGACGTCTTTGTCCAAATTTACGACTTTTCCACAGGCTAATCTAGCCTGTCCTTCGTCAGCTAATAGCTGCCAGCTGCTCTTCTGAAATTCTGTTAAGATATTATTTTGCTTTTACATCAAAGAACAGTCCTGATACGGGTGCTGTTTTGAGTCCGTTTAAAATCGTTTCTCTACCCTACCCCTTTGATAACAGTTGCAAATGATTATTCCATTGTAAGTATCCCTATTTTGCGAACGTACTCTTCGGAATCTAGACAAACCGTGAGAACAGTTTTGTTCTGAAAGCAAATTGTTCAGCTCTGGTAAGATCACTTTTTTTTCCATACAGCTCCTAGGAACTAGGACCGTAAAGTAAAAACCGAGGGTGTTTATAAAAAAAAGAATATGATTTAGGTTTCGTAAGAAAAACTTGGAAGTAGTCACTGGTAATGGGAGGAAGATTTGGCTTTTACTAAGACTTTATTTTGTGTCTATTATCAGTACAATTCCTTTATGTGTTTCCCTGTGTTTCAAACCTCGTTTCAATTATTATATTTACGGACAGCCAAAATCAGGAAGGATAAAGCGGGTGGTTGGAGGGTGTCCCTGGTGTGTTAATATACCTGTTCACTTTTCCTCTGTCGTTTCTGTCTTTCCAACCTTTTGTTAGCACATGACAATTATTGTGTATTATGTGCTTCTCGTTATTCAAACAAATAAGAAAGGATAAACAAACATGCTTGAAAGATTAGTACCCACGTCATGTTTGGCTTAACGGAGTTTCAAGACGTTGATTTTTCTGTCTGTCTCCACACCCTTTTCCTAAGTTTAAATATAGACGTATAAACAAGCATTGCCGTGCATGCATGTAAATAAGTTTGCGTTATGACATACATGAGAAGTACATAACGCAGATCAAAGGCATCTTATCGTGTATCAAAAATCGTACATGTGTAGGACCACGTTCGCCTGCCCCCTCCTTCTCTGCCCTCCCTGTCAATTGTGATCATCTAGGAGGCGTGTCTTTTACCTGTACAAAATAAATACACATTTCGTGATGCATTTCCATTGGACTGGAACAAATAATCTAAATATTATATTTACAGGCACCCAACACCAGGAAGGATACATACATAACTGAACCATCCTAGACAGATTTGTACCAACGCCATGTTTTAACTTGTCAAACAATGATTCCAGACGCCTTCATTTCTAAACGGATGGTACCATCCGCTTTCTTCATCATCCTTATTCTGTGCCACAACGGCATGGCTGTCCACCGAAGATCAGCCAGCTACCAGGGCGTGCCCTACGACACGAACGGCTTAGAGGCGTACCCAGCCCCCAGCCCCGTCAACAATATAGACAACTTCGTGAAAGAAGTTCTCCGCTGGCACACACACTATTGCGGTAAAAACCGTATGTGCCAGGAATACACGTCTTCCCACTGCTACAAGTGTTCGCCCTGCCAGTGTGATCTCAGTTGCCATGACTACGGAGATTGCTGCCCCGACCTGGCGTTGGAAAAGCGGGATGGTGACGATTTCCCTCGTCCTTTCACGGGAAATGACGTAGATGTTGTGACGTGTAAGAGTGTTTCCTTAAGCAGAACCTCTTTGAGAGGTGTTCGTGAGAATCAGGAATATGGCTCTCAGCATCCATACGTAGATAGTTACTACATGGTCTCCAGTTGCCCTCATACTTTCTCGTCAGATGCGTCGGCATGCGAAAATAGTAACGAGGGGCCTCCTGTCACATCCGAGATAAATTCTACCTCTGGATCCAGCATCGTTTTCAAAAACATACATTGTGCGCGTTGCCATGGATACCTCAACGTTACAGCATGGAAAATACAAATTTCGTGCATGTCACGTCAAAATTTGACTTCGCTCTCTACGCCATACCGAGCTGTCATGTCTGCCATTTCACGACCTGGGTGCTCAGTGTCTTACATTCCACCTGAATTTGCAAAGGGAAGGAAGTGCTTTTCTAAACCAGGAATGATTTACAAATGCAACGTGACAGGTCACTGGCCGAGGCGAGACGCGTTTTTAGAGCGAGCGTGCCACAGTCATTTAACTCCCAAACTTGTGAATGGTGTACTGTACAAAAACGTCTTCTGCTTCCTCTGTAATACAAACGTAGACGGGAGCCATCAGGACCTTACGTCGTGCCAACGGAGTCCGTATCAGAAGTCGGCGCCGATGACAGTGCTGCTAGACAACAGAGCTGTGAAAGAGGGCGACCGGGGAAGGCATCTAGCAGAGAGCGGTGGCTACTGTGGTGGGACTGGTGTCTACGATCACAAAGAGGTGAGTAAAACACTAAAGAACGTTGTAAAAATACGTATAATCTTTTTTTAAAATTGAGGACGTATTACTTCCTCATCAACATTATTTACGTCAATAAGGACGTAGGCGTTAGCTCTGTCCTTCAGTGTGAACCTGGGCTAAAAGCGATGGCATTGAAAGATGGAGATACTCAATAAAAGTCTGCCCAACTATGGAATGGACTCGAGATTTTTTTAGTGCGACAGCGAAGTGCCTAACCGCTATTCCACAAACGCCAGTAAAGAAGGCTGTGACTGAGTCAAAAGAGGCTTTACAAGTGTTGATCAATACCAATAATACTATTAGCCTGCATAAACCCAAATGCATACTGGACATTTTGTTTCTCTTTTTTGCTTCTTTCAAAGCCAATCCACTGCCTCATTTTGTACCAAAAAAAGAAAGAAAATAGAAAAAGAAAGCTGTTCTGATAATGACAAGTCATGTTCTATTTCTGACAAGACTGACTGAAGTCCGTAAAAAAAATTGAATGTAAAACTGGGACAAAAACAAAAGAAAAAATATATCAAGCACATGCAGACATGTGTGTAAGAGTGCATGGTGAACGGACAGCTCTACATTCATAAATCATAAACTGTAGACATTCCCCCGTACATTCCAAGTTCACGGTACTTTAAAAGTTATATGAGACTTATACTACAGACAGAGTGTGATATTTTTTTTCTTTTTCCTCAGAGATATTGCTGTATGAATATTAAACAAGTTAGACTCTACTCGTGTTAAGCTAAAACTTCACCGACGCCTAGACTCCTCGACTTCTCTCAAACCATAATAATCACACTGCTGGCCATTGCTTTTCTCAATTCAGTCGTGTATATTAAGTTGATTTATTTCACGGTAATTTCGTTGACTGCACTCTCGTTCACACGTTGTGAGATTCCTAGAGGAACATCTGGCAATATTATTGGTTACCTCCTTTGCTGTATCATTTGGCTATAGGTAGATTCTCAGTTGTTGTATACGCATACCGATAATTTCCAGCCGATATTGACAATGAGAGTGTACTTTTAAGTTGACACGTTTTCAATCCCTAACATTTCCTAATCATTTCTTTTTTTAAATGATAAACAATAAACAACGCACTTCTATTTCTGAGCTAATTACTGTAACGCAGCTTACAAACCCTCGTTTTCAGGTTCACAAAGAAATCCTTAGTTGACAAAAATAGACTGGCACAATGCGTACAAGAATTCACACATGAGAGCCAAGATAACCTCAAGGCACCTTACGTCAGACTGAGTTAGCTATAACTTAATTATCTAGAGTTCACAGAGAGAGTTTATGCAAGGTAAAGGGGTGAGAGAACGAGAAGAAGCAGAGGTAGGATGGCAGGGAAATAGAGGACGAGAGAGAGAGAGAGAGAGAGAGAGAGAGAGAGAGAGAGAGAGAGAGAGAGAGAGAGAGAGAGAGAGAGGGGGGGAGGGAGAGAGAGACAAAAAAGAAAGAAAAGGGAAGCGGGAAAAGATAGAAAGAGACAGAGTTGGGATGGTAGAAAGAGACAGAGTGGGGATGGAAGAAAGAAAGAGAAAGACAGAAAGAATAGCCAGACAGAAAGAAGGAAAGAATGAACGAAAGAAAAGAAAAACGAACTCACTCAAAGATGCAGACAAGTACTTTGAACAGAAATAGGAGCGGATCAAAATAATGAACTCGATATTAAGTACACACCAGCAGCGAATTTTTCTCGACACAATCGTGGAGAAGACCCATGTAAAGAAGACAGGTTTGAGGAAACATGATGTTCCTCGGTAGTAGCGACGAAGACAACCAGGTAGTCGATCTGGGTCGGAACGAGTGCGTGCTAAGTAACTGATCAGGAGGACTGGAACATACATAGAGAAACTGGTACAACTAGACACAAACGCACCCCTCCCCTACAAATCCAGCTCACTCAGAATGTACACGTCGTAATTCGTACACCCAGAGTTTATACTCTCTATGGTGGCACGTTTGAGTCGCAGTGATATCATTCGAGAAAGACGTTTTTTTTAAATTATCGAGGATCGAAAGTTCTTTTACCTGACAGAGAGTTGTGGGCGGAGGGTGAGAGAGAGAGAGAGAGAGAGAGAGAGAGAGAGAGAGAGAGAGAGAGAGAGAGAGAGAGAGAGAGAGGTGGGGGGAGAGAAAGAGAGGAGGAAAGAAATAAAGAAAGAGGCCGACACATAGACGAAAAAGACAAACAGTCAGAAGCAACGAAAGACAAGTATAAAAAAAAAGTCGTCGAGGAGATGGGGACAGAGATGTGACTGAACAAGAGAGAAGACACTGCAAGATAGATTCACAAAAGGCAGATGGCCATAAAGATGGAAGCACCTTAAAAAAACCCAGAAGCTACCCTGTAACAACAGAGAACAGAGAAAACCCGCGTAAGATTGCCTCACCTACGTCACGTACCAGATGGGGAGCAGGAGATAGGAGGGGAGCGACAACGCTGCCGGTTTTACCATTGTATAGCCTTCTTCTGGACGCGTGATAGAGCACGTAAAAACGTCCTTGACCGAGACAAGGAAAGCAAACTTCCCGCTTCCCCTACAAAAAGCATCAACGACCAAAAAAAACAACAACTAAATACTCATGTAGGTGTTTTTGTGCCCCCGTGGGCATATTGCAGATCATTTAGGAGGCGGGCTTAGACCCTCTTTATCAGGGTCAACTAGTGCTGAAAGGGATACATAAAATGTCCCAGTGAAAAGACTGGAGGGCAGTGTACTCTACACACACAAAAATTATCCCCACACGGGCATTGGAATTAATTTTTCGAACGACGGCTAAGCACCTAACGGCTACACCAAATGCAGGGTGCAAAGCGACAAAATTACCAAGGATGAATAGGGCGATAACATCCAGCTTTTTAACCCTGCCTCCTGCTTCTTAAAAATGAATAGATTGGCGGTCATTCAAAATAGCAGAGTATGGCTTCATAAAAGCTTGACAAAACTTCCTGAGCACCGTATTACTTCAGTTATATTTTGTAATCAGACAACAAGAGTTTTCATTGATGGAACCTTCTTCTTATTGAGCTGTTCATGGATTACTTACTGCTGGATACTGCTGATAAGTTTCTGCTTCCGCTTTTTCTTCGTTAGTTCTGCGTGATGGGAAAACAACTGGCTGCCGTCTTCTCGTCAGCCCACCTGTTCTATTTATTGAGGGTTTGGAGGTTGACTTACTTTTTATTGCTATTGTTATTGCTATTGCTATAGTCAATATTTCTCTTCTTCTTCTTCTTCTTCTTCTTCTTCTTCTTCTTCTTCTTCTTCTTCTTCTCAAATGAATATCTATTTGCACTATTAGATAACTCAGGTGATGTTGCTTGTCCATTCACATGGTTTGCCAAAGATAGAGAATAGGAAACGAAATAGGATACTGATTTTTAGCCCACCCCGATCATGGAACTGGTGCACATATTACCTTCGATTAGTTTTTGTCAGTAAAGTCTTCCCCATAAGTCCTCCTACGCATGTTGCGTTACCGTGGAATGCAAAAGATGTGGGGATGATTTTATTGAGTGTCTTCCGCTTGCATCCCTTTCAGCTCGGGTTAGCCCTGGCAAGCAGAGATGAAGCAGTCCTCCTCCTAACTGATCTAAAAAATGTCATTGCGGGGCTCAAAACATCTATAGTTACATTTTTTGACTTGTTGAGCTGCTTAACCTTAAGTTATCTTAATGCAAACACCATTTTGCATAATTTCACTCTTGTCCACCAGTTTCTCTTCTGGACTTCGATTTTAAAGTATCACCTATAATTGCATATTCTTAAGATCTAATCCATTTCCAACTCCTGCATATTAGTCTGATAATATGTGTAATACAATGCAAGCGCAAACGAACATGTTGT